CTCTCTCTCTCTCTCTCTCTCTCTCTCTCTCTCTCTCTCTCTCTCTCTCTCTCTCTCTCTCTCCTGTTCTTTTCCTTCTTTCCCCTCTCTCCTGCAGCTTTGTGTGAGAATAGAGAAGAACCCCGGTCTTGGTTTCAGCATCTCTGGTGGCATCAGCGGCCAGGGGAACCCCTTCAAACCCTCCGACATGGTACGACCTGACTTGGCTCGGCAGCCAATCACAGCCTCCTCGGCTTTACCTCAGAGTTGCCGTGGAAACTGCTGCTCGTTACCGCAGTGTTTTGTCTGTCCGTCTGTGTGTCTGCCTGTGGGGCAGTGGCTGACTCCGTTAACACCGAGCGTACCTTATTCTGTTGGAATGTAGCAGTTTAACACAGGATATGTGATGAAATTGGTATAAAACTAAATCATCTATTTCCTTTTGCCTCCATCAATCATAGTTATAGACTTTTACTTGTTTTTTTTTTAAATATTTGACACCCTTTCATGTAGTTGGTTCATAACCTGACCAGACTTAGACATAAAACATTCTCCACCAACTCCAAACTCTTTTATCACTTCAGTTTGACTGAGTCTGTCAGTGTGTTTCCACTGAGGGCCTGCTGGGGTTGCAGATCCCTCAGGCCTGTTGCAGGAAGCGCTCTGTCCTAGAAACACGCTGCTTCGTTCAATCAAAGGAGGGAGGCTGTTTCACAAAGCTCTGACAGCTATTTTCGTAAGGCCGCTGAAGTTCTGGGACGCCGTGGGCGATTTTAGATGTTCACCACTTTGATCCGAGGACGGAACGTACGACAGATTTTACTGCCCGTTATTTCCGACTACGTGACTAACTGTCGGGACAGCTGGTCTATTAAAAAGGGAAGTTCAGAAGACGGAGATGTGCTTTAAACGTCCTGTATGGTTCACGTGCGCGTTGAATATGAGTTAGTACATTGTTTAACTTTTATTTTTTATAAGCTGACAACTGCTGACAGGGACAGTTATTTTATCGTACTTGGATCCATAAGGCTTCCATGAGCTGCAGCACGTCCATTATTAATGCTATTTTAAAGGAGCAGCAGATGGAGTCGATGCAGATTATCTCTTTTTTTTTGTAGGAACAGAATTTTGCTGAACGTCAAGCAATTACACGAGCATGCCCGACACAAAATGCATAATGTCATATTTTTTATATAACTATTCGTATTATTGGGGCAATAGCTGTGTTTTGGATGAATGGAAATCGTTTCGCCTTAGAATAAAACGTTTTGGTGACTCGTAGACAAGGAAAATGCATTTTATGGTTCATCATTTAAATGTCAGCTTGGCTTAACGATGAAAGAAACAATGATTTTAAGGAAATATTGGGTTTAACTTTATGACATTAGGTATTTAGTCTGTTTTCTGTGACTCAGAACACATCATTTAGACCTCACAGGTTTAAAGTTTGATCTTTACAAAATGTTCAATTGTTTTACTCGTGTTTATTTCCTCCACGTTCATCAGACAAATAATTACTGAATTAAACTTTAATGGTTTGATTACCAGAACACTTAAATAGCTTGGCAGTGCCCTCTAGTGTTCATCTTCTTATTTACACTGTTAACTGATTAAAGGGGACGAATGCAAATTCCACTCTTTTAGCCGTTTAAAGTTTTGCTGTGGACTTGGAGTCTCTAGGAGGCAGAAAAGTTTAATCCAGTCTCTCCTGGTACTGCAAAGATATCAAAAAGAAAAAAATTGTATAGGTCTTCTGGACGGGTTCTTCTCTAATGAAACGTTTCGTCTCTCCTCCAAGAGACTTCTTCAGTCTGAGAGTTTCAGGCAAAATTCAGGCTTTTAAGCCCTGCCTCCATGTGACTGATACTCACATCACATGGCTATCGTTGACACCTAATTAACACTTATCGTTAACGGGGGTGGAGTGATACTGGCAATGGCCGCGCTGTAGGAGGGGGACAACTGAAAACGGAGGCCTCCACCTCTGTTTAATGATGGACGGTCTTGCTTCACAAAAATGGCTTCTTTTACTCCTCTCTCAAACCAACGTTCCTCTCTATCAAGAATGAGAACATCYTCATCTCTGAAAGAGTGACCGCTGGCCTGTAAAWGAGTGAAAACTGCAGAGTTCTGGCCAYTAGAHDTAGCTCGTCTGTGTTGGGACATTCTTTTGAACAGTGGTTGCTTTGTTTCCCCGATGTATAACTGGTCGCAGTCCACCTGGCACTTAACAGCATATACAACATTGCTCTGTTTGTGCCGGGGCACCGGATCTATAGCAAAGATATCTTTATATTCTGAGTCATATTTTTAACCAGTTCACTTTTCTCTATTTTTAAGTCGTTTTTTTATGTCACAGAATTTGCAACGGATCTTCTAAATAAGGTCTGGACTTACAGACTATGATTTGGTGGTCTTCGTTCTCCTCTGGCTCTGGGTCAGACTCTGGCTTCAACATGTAAGGCTGGATAGACAAGTTGACGAAAACTAAAATGTTTCTGTGCCGCTATATAGCAGCCGCTTCGGATGTTATCAGTCCATTAAATGGACGTTATTAGTGGTTATCAGTCCCATAGAATGGCTTCAGACTGTCCCGACAGTGCCCCCTAGTGGGTTACCAGAGCCATATATGTTGGAATACAACAATCTGCTACCGCCGGAGTCCGGTCTACTTTATCATAGCCCATGTCATTTTCTCTAAAATTAACCTTAGTGGCTTTATGCCTCATATTAACCAGATTGCATTAAAAAAAAAAACCTTAGTAGTTTTATGCCTCATACTAACCAGCTGACAGTCTGAAGCCATTCTATGGGACTGATAACGGCTAATAAAGTCCATTTAATGGATGATAACATCCGAAGCGGGTGCGTATAGTCGTAAACCCCTCAGTCAAACTGGAATGGATCGTTTTGGAAGCTGGAGGGGGGCAGGGTGTGAAACGCCTCATTTGGATTTAAAGAGGCAGCCTCAAAGTGAGTTGATCTGAGACACACCTCAGAAAAGGGGTAAAAGAGGGGCTTGTGGAGTTACAATAAGGAGGAATTCTACTTTATATAGGCCCCAACTGAATGACTGAAATGTAAAAGAGGATGATTTAAAAGCAGGACATGTCTCCTGTCTGTTTTTCAACATAAACACAGTGTTCATGTTTATTAGTTTCAGGGAAAATTGTCAGTATTAGAAAGTTGAACCAGCAGCATTTAATACATATGCAAACAATCTAATCATAGTTCTAAGAACAAAACTTTGTTTTTCCTGCACTAAGTCTGAAAAAAAAGTTTAGTTTCACCTAAATATTTATAGAACCCCCATTAAAGGGTCTCAAAAGGAATAATAAGCCTAAAAGTTTGACTTGTAAGACTGCTTGAGGTCCACTGGGTCAGTCTCACAGCTCATTAGGACTCACTGAGACCCAGTTCTTGTACTGACTGGATTGAGATCGGGGGCTTTGATGAATTAGCTTCTTAGGACTGGCTTAAGAACAGAAGCTGGATTTATTTATTTTTCAAATACAGGTTCTCAATTTCTAAATTGTGATTTTGTATTTGTTTGTTTGTTAGGTTGTGTCTGCCTCTGATTGCTGTTTTTATGAACTGCAAAAATTGTGTTTTCAGTTAAAATGTGTCAAAATGTTTTCGAATTTTTAGAGAAAGTACTTTTTAAACATTGATGTCTGTTGCAGTTTCTTTCAGCTCTATGTGTGTTTATAGGGTAAAGCAGGGGTGTGAAACCTTTACAACCAAAAGAGCCATTCCTGCTCTCTGGCTCCGCAAAACATACAACAGTGTTTAGCAACTGGTGGCCCGTGGGCTACTTTGAGTTTGTTGAAGTTGTGCTTTCTGTGCAGTGGGGGTCACATCATACAACTACAAATATACAATGAATTTGAACATTTAATTTTTTTTTTTTACATTTTAGGACGAGAAAGGCCATTTTCATATAAACAAGAAAAATACCTTATATAGTTAACACCAAATTCAGTTTAAAAAAGTTTACATTTTTCATTATCTAATAAATTCAACAAATTTCTTCTCAGCAACTTGTCTTACAGGTATTAAAAAAGAAAAAAATAATAAATTGCTGATGGATTTGAGAAAATATTAAAAATAAAAAACAAAATTTTGAAGTGTAGTGTTGGGTTAGTTAGTTCCGAACATTTGCGAACAAATGGACAAAAGAATCTGCTAAAGCTAGCTTTTTCTTTCGTGGGAATTAAAAACAAACGAACATGCAAAAAATCTGTCATGTAGTTTTGGTCAAAACATTAAAGAGCTGCTGCAGAGGGACCAAAGAGCCGCAAATGCAGACCCCCTGGTGTAAAGGTTTATTTGTTTAATTCTCCAGTATTTCAGTTGAACCTGTACAGTTGGGCGTCATACAAACCAGAGGTTCTCAAACTGGGGTCCTAGGCCCCTGAGGGGTCTGCGAGTTGTATCTTGGGCAGTCCTCAAAAATTTTCAATAAATTGTTTGTTTGATTTTTATTTTTAAAATATGCATTTGGGGAACAATACACTCGTAAAACAAAGATACTAAACCAAAGAAAAAATATTTCCATGGCATTTAGGAGGTAAAATTAGTAGAATAGAATAGAATAGAATAGAATAGAATAGAATAGAATAGAATAGAATAGAATAGAAAAAGCTTTTATTTTCCCATGGTGGGGAAATTCAGGTGTGACAGCAACAGCAGATACTTGCATCAATCAACAAAACAGTATATTGATATGTGACATTATCAACTGTAACGATAAAAATAATAGAATTAAAGTAATAATAATAAAAATTAAAAATAGAATAAACAATTAGTAAGCAATTTTTAAAATAGCATGGGGTTTATAAGGGGGTCCCTGGAAATTTTTCACCCTTGTAAGAGGTCCCCAGACCCAAAAGGTTTGAGAACCCTTTATATAAACTATCAAGTCCACATTCTTAGCACTTGGTTACAACCACTGTATATATATGTATATGTATGCATGACTCTGCATGTTAAATTGGCCCTGTTTGCAGCCAGAATACTAATGTTTTTACTGTATTTATGTGTAAGGCTCAATGTATCAACGATTGCAGCTTAATACTTCTAACATACAGTATTTGTGTTTGTGAACTCACACTCACTGTAGTGTGTGGGGTGTTGCTGCACTGTCACCGTTACTGTCGTATTGTTTTTGGTTTATCCCCGTGTCACTTTTCTTCGACACATTTATGTGTTCAGTTCACTATTCAACGTGTTCAACGTGCACTTTCACCTGTTGAACCGTGTGGAGTTCCAGCAACTGCATTGTCTGACACTTTCTGTGTGCAAAAAAGAAAAAAAAAACATCTTTCAGCTCTCGGTGAAAAGATGTTGGTGTTTTTACAATCTCTGCCTTGGGTTATTGAGTAAAAAGAGCCTAAATCCTTACTTATTCCCCCAAAGACAGAACTCATCCCACACCGATTTTTCTCCCCATATTCCTTCAGTACTTACTGTATACCTAGTTTTCTTTATATTTGTCTATTCTAACAATATGACCTTAACAATTATAGTTTTTTTTACTAGAAAGTCAATTTATAATGAATTTGTGACAGTTTTGTTCTCAGCAGAGCATTTGCATTACTTGCATTCATCCACAAATTGACATTTGGCCATATTATTTCGGCAGAAACAGGATTTTACTGAATTGTTTATGTAGGGTTGGGGTTGAGATGAGCATGAAAAAGGCAAAGATTCTAAACCATCTTGTCCCTGTGTTGTCCTAACGGTGTATCATTTTGACTTATAGGGTATCTTTGTTACTAGGGTACAGCATGATGGGCCCGCCACGTCTGTCCTGCAGCCTGGAGACAAGATACTGCAGGTAACGTCCTCCCACTCGTCTTCAAAACAGACCACCGTCAGCGACATTACACCCTCCTCCGACCTTCTTAAAGAAAGAGGCAGGACATTCAGCAGGACAGAAAAGTATTTTTATGGTTTACCTACCAAAGAACAGTTGGTCTGAGCTCTTGTTACGGCTGCCGTCCAAATTTAACAGACACTGATGTTCTACAAAGATTATCTCAAGTCGGCTTGTTTGCTCTTGTTTCAACAGTGTAAAAGGCTTGAAGGATTTACTGCTTTATATCTTGCCTCTCTGTGTGTGTACCATCCAGAAATTAGGCATGAACGTAATCTACTATCATTCCGCCAAGTGTCACTCCCTGTCTTTTATCAGTGTCCCCTTTGAGCATTCAGAGGTCAGAAACCCAAATTTTAACATTTGATTTTGGCTTTTAAAAGTTGAAACCAAAAGAACCTGAGTGAAAGCTAAAATTATTTTAGGTTACACAGCTAAAAGTTTTTCAGTGGACCTTTTCGCGGATGCCGTTTAGCACCGCCTACCGGATACGGCGCGCAATGGTTTGTGGGATTGTTTGGGGGTGACCAACAGTGAAGTCAATGATGGACCGGTTCTCAAATGTTAAAGATTGGACTGTTGCATAGCTTAAAACATTTCTTTTGGTTGGAGATGGACCAAATTCTAATCTGAAAAAAAGGACAAACTAGTCCAGAATTTGCACTGCTCAAACATTAGGGTTATTGCTTAAAATGGCAATCTGAAGAGGCAAAAAAGAGGTAAGCTTATACTGTTGTGCAGTAAATTTAATATAAATAGAATGTATTTCTTACTATATTAGCTCACAAATCTATTGCCAGAGAAAATCCAGGTATACAGTGGTCATATTAACACCATTATGACCAGTGACCGGGGCAGGCCGACCCATGATTCTTTAAACTCTGAATATAAAATGATCATCTTTATCACAGAGCCTATTTGGCACAAATTTAAATTTTTATTGTGGTAACCTTCTGCATGGTGTTTGTTATTGTTAATGAATTAACAGTTCTGTAGACATGTTTAAGTTTTAAGCTAGGTCATACCAGTGGCGGCTGGTGGATTTTTCTCCGGGGGGGGCTACAACTCCAAAATAGACATATCTCAAAAAGCATTCAATTTGTACTAAGTTTTTTCACACCAGTGTATTTATTAAACAAATACAAATAATAAAACAGTCATGTAGTTTTTATTTTTAGTACATAAATTTTGCTCTTCTGTAACTGAGAAGCACATTTCTTCATGACTCTGGTTAAATTCAGGAATGTTCTAACCAGATTCTTATTTAGCATGGTCAGTGCAGTGAGATGTGATGTTGTACCTGAGGAAAGTCTGGATTGTCTTCAGTGTTGAGAAGCTCCTCTCAGATTCAGCTGTGGTCAGAGGAGATGTGAGGAGGATCTTCAGCAGAGTCACAGTCTCTGAAGGTGTCCTGCAGATTGTTCTCCATGAAGAGCTGGTACAGATCCACATCACCACTGCAGCTCCTGAACTACATGAGACTTCTTGGCCCTGTTCAGCATTGGGTGAGCCTCCATGGTCTTCAGTACCACTTCAGAGAACTGTCCTGCAGGAACCTGTCTGCCTGCAGCACTGTAGCTCTGATCAGACGCTTTGTGAATGTCTCAAGATGGTGTCACAAACCTAAAACAATAAATGCACAAATTTAATTCAATAAGAAGATGGCTACAAGTGAGCTTTATAATATATATTTAATATATAGAGATCAATTAGTTATTTTAATAGCAACAAATTGTTGCATCTCTTAGGTAAACTATTATATTTTTGTTTTAAAATGTATTTATTTCATTAAAAAACAAAATAAACTCTATGCACAACAGAAGAAAAAAGATATAATAAAATGAAAGGCAGCAGAAAGAAAAAATATCTTCTAATATCTGTCAAAAACATAAACACAACAATATTATATTATATTATTATATATTATATTATTTAAGTTGTTTTCACCATTAATATATAATATAATATACTATGATTAACAAGCATTACAAAAGTATTTTAGCTTTCCTCTTACCTGTTTTAATCCATGCTGGATCAGATCCTGATGCTTGAAAAATGTTGGTTACGTACTGTAACCCACACCGTTTGTGTGAGGTCAGCTGCGGGGCGGCCACATGCTGCGCCCTAGGCCACCCTATTCTGGGGCGGCGAACCGCTCGTGAACCGGAAGTGACTCAACACGAAAAAGCTCATGAGTAAAATGGAAGTTTACACATCAATAACTCTAAATTAATTTATCAGAAAACATATATACAATATTTTTTCAAAACATTTATAATATTTTATTTTGTTATTTTATTTATTTTATTTTTTTGTGTACCAAAAATAGTGGTGGGGCAGCACCTAGTGCCCCCTATTGACCAGCCGCCACATGGTCATACCTATATTTTTGTAATATTAAGTAGGCAAACTTATCTGTAGGCTGCAAATATGTTACACGGCCAAGATCCCTGTAAACCACATGAAATTATTTAATGTTAGACCTATATAACATTACTAAACCTAGTGGTGATATTCGTTTGTTTTCATTATTCTATATATTCTAACAAGGGTAAAACTTTAGGGATACCTTTTGGAGTGGGGTATGCTCTCTGCCTATTTATTTATTTATTGAATCATGTACTTTTGTACAATAATTCCATATATTTTGGGGTTAAAGTACGTGAACTGTAATGCTTTTACTGTGATTAACTTAACTTTCCAGTGTTCTTTGTATTTACTCTTTTCTGTTCCACGCCAGTTCAACAGTTAAGAAAAGAAAAGGCTCCACCCCCCCATTCTTTTGCAACGGTAACAAATATTTTACATTTTTAGGATGTATTATGCGACATACCTAAACATCTCAAATTTCCAAGAGACTGTATTTACCTGGTGTACTACAATTTGGCTAGGAAAAACTACAAAATGATTGAACAAATACTGCCATAATGTGACAAGAGCAGTCACAGAGGTACAATAAAAATATAGTTTCTGTGTTGCAAAAAGAGAGTAACTTCAGCTGACAGGTGTTTGCAAATCAATAAGAAATGTTTGTACTTTTTATTATCAGCTGATTAGCGATGGGAAAAAAAAGTTCAATACCATGATACCGGTATAACTGTAGAAAATTTGTGGTATAAAATTTGGGTCGTACCGCCCAGCAATAACTTAAACGTACATATATAACATCATAAATTTTGAAATCAGGTTAAAGTGTGCCTAAAGACAACATGAGAGCTGTGTACTTAATCAGTTTATTTCTATTATTTTATTGGGGTTATACTGCCAGGATCAAAATATTGTGGGTGTAATAACCCCCCCTAACCCCCCAGCAAATTACGCCCATGTATTCAAGCTTATTTTCCTGTATCTGTGATCATTGTTGCACATATACACTAGTAGTACATGGCTCAGAGATCTACAGTACATATTTTCACATTCAGTTCACCCTCCGGCACCGGGTGCCCCCAAACTGGACCATGATGCTTTGCGCTCAGCAAATACGGCGGTATCCGCAGAAAGGTTCAAGATGCTAACACAATTTTTTTTCTCACAACCAGAATTTACTTTTAGGGTCTTTATGATAGTGTTTTGTTGGACCTGACATTTTAGGGTTCAAAAAGCTTTACTTTTAGCAAAAATTGGGAGTTTTTGCAATGTGATCAAATAATGCTGACTGCACATTTTACAAGACAGGAAGTAGACGGACAACACAAAAAAGTTCTAGCATTTACAGTGTCCGATTCATCCTCCCTCATATCATAGTTTCCATGACTTCATCTTTCTGTTCCTTGTCATCTCCACTCCTAAGATTTACAGTTTAGCTGGTTGAACTCATCTAAAAAAACCCTTTTTTGTCTTTACCCCTTCTCTTTCTACAGCATGACTGTGTAGCTCCTCCTCTTCTCTCTCTTTTCCCCAACAGTGATGTGTTACTGAGATAATGATGGCAGTGACCCTCCATCCTCCCACAAAAAAAAACAAAAACCACTCACACATTGACATGTGTATGGAAACATCTGCAGAACACATACCTCTATACACACACATGCGCACACACATGCTGTTGACTGTGCTGCGTGTTTGCCTTGCAGGCTAACGGACATAGTTTTTTACACATGGAGCACGAGACAGCCGTCTCTCTGATGAAGAACTTCCCGCGGACAGTGCACTTGGTGGTTCTGAGAGACAGCAGCATGCTCTAGAAATTCTTTCTTTTTTTTTTTAAACAAACACAAAGCGTCTCTACTCGACTCATCATCCAATGCCACCCCACCTGCCTTCCACATACAGGCTCGTGGAACTGAATTATGAGCCGCTGTTTTCTCTATTTTTTTTTCTCTTTTTCTTTTGACTTTTTAAGAGGAATACACAGACATTTATTTGCCTATTGCTGGACCAAAGGCAAATACCAGTGCCAAATGTACCATAGGAAACATATCGGATCTTCTGTCTACCAGAGGTCAGAGACCTGATCGTTGGCTGGACGAACCATAAGAGGACTCCACATTTTTATTTATATTATTTATTTTTGTTTTAGTCCCGACAGGGCTGCTGCAGTTTGAATTTTGTGGTTGTTTTATTAATTAGGCAATCATCTCATCAGTCGATCAGATTATATATTTTTTTTTTGTTGTTATTTAGTATGGAGGTCTTTTTTTTTCTTTTCTCCGCTGTCATTGCTGCCATCTAATGGGAGTTTTAAATAAGTGTAGCACTTTGTTCCCTTGCCTTGTTCTTCTTGATTGTTTACCTGCTCTGCTTTTTTTCTGCATTTCATCACTGTTTTTCTTCTCTTTTATGCTTTTTATCGTCTTTCGTTAAGTTCTCCTTCGCCCTCCGGGTTTTGTTTGGCAGGTTTATTTTTGCCTCCAGTGTACAGATGTTGAAAACTTCGTATTTTCTGCCCTTTTTTTTTTTTTTTTTTTTTGTACATATAGAGATTCAGCTTTTCGGAGCTGCGCTCTTGGTGTGGCCTGATCGGGATGCTCTGAAACTTTACGATGAATAGAAATATTGTTGATAAAAAATATTCTGAATTCTCATCACGTGATTGTACAGGGATCATATCTCCTAATAGATCGTTTTCTAAAGTATACAGCTATTTTATCTGTAAAGAACACACTTTTCATAGTTCGTCATCGCTAAGGGGGGTTTTTACGTTGTAGAAAACTGTCGCCTGCACAGCTGTGTTGAAACGAGCTAAAGCAATATTTCTGAGGCTCAGCCCGTTGAGCCCATCAGCAGAGCCTACCTTGTTCTGTAGTGCCATCTATTGTGCAAGTCGCGCTAATGTTTACACACACAACCATGAATAGAACTAATAGACACAGAAAGACCCCCATGCTCTCACACAGCACGTTTGCACTGGTGCACTGCTGCAAATTGGTGCCCGATTTCGAATCTAAAAGCAGTCACACTGACCAAACACCAGTAATGGACTATCTGTGCCATCTTTACACTGTGGTGTCAATATATTTTTATAGCTGTTTGCATTGATAAAGTCACTGCTTTCTTTCTTAGCATTGATGACCGACAACCAGCCTTTTTTTTTTTAAATTGGTTGCTAGACTTTTCACAACTTTAGTTTAGTTGCTGGCGCCTCGCGCTCGTGCAATATAAACCCTCTACAACTCTAACATTGTATTTTAATTTATTTTATTTTATTTTATCATGGCTCAGATCAGATTTTGTTTCAATTTCCCAGCGTTGAAAACGGCACAGCGCGAGCCGAGCTCTACACACTGCAAAAACTGTTCATCTAACCAAGTTTTAAAATCGTATATCCAGCCAAAAAATAATCTATTTGATCTGGTTTTGAGACTGATTTACTAAACAAGACTGTGTGAAAATAATAATCTTGTTTTAAGAATGTGTAAGATTATTTGTCTTGTTAGCTGGAAAATTTGGCTCAAATTACTGTATTTATTCATGAATAAAACTAGAAATTTAACCTTAGAAATCATCCATAAAGTAGGGGGGTAGTATTATACATGGGTTATTGATGATTAAATTTTTTATGCTTTTTAAGCTCAAAAATGATGATCGTATTATACTTGAGATCGTGTTATACATGAATAAATAAAGTAAGTCAAAAAGTTTCTGCCTGTGGAGTAAGGAAATTTTACTTGGTAAAATTTTTGAAATAAGAAAAAACTGAGTCAAATCAAGTATTTCAAGAATCTTACCAAGTAAAATGTTCTTACTCCATTGGCAGAAATTTTTGACTTAATTTGAGTCAAATTTTCAGACTAACAAGACAAATAATCTTACACATTCTGAAAACAAGATTAATATTTTAACACAATCAGTTCTTGTTTAGTAAATCAGTCTCAAAACAAGATCAAAAAGATTATTTTGGCTGGATTTAAGCTTTTAAAACTTGGTTAGATGAACAGTCTTTGCAGTGTAGAGACATTTTCAGAGTAACACCTGAGGAGAGGCTAGTTTTTTACAAGGCGAGAGTGGAAATTTAGCTTTGCTGACTTATTTGGAAAAGTTTCCAAATCACACGAATATAAAATATATTTGTTTTGTTTTTTTTTTGTCTAAGCTTGGACATTAAACCTTACAGTTAATAAAGTGGAAGACCAGATGGAGATTTTGGAAAATGGGAGGTTTTCGGGCCAAAGATTGATGGTCTCTTTGATGAAGTTCCTGTTGATACGGCGGACGTTTCCATAACGCGAGGACATTTTCATCTAGAGCTAAAGAATCGTTCACTATCCTTTGCTTTACTTGACATCCTGTGCCCGTTCTGTGTCGACTCTTCTAGGGAGTATTAAGCTTTTGTTAATCCAGCATATAAGGGGACACAACATGGCACACTTTAAAAATAACGTGGTTGAAAGATTAAAACCTATTTAGAGTTTGAAATATCAGAACTTATTATGATGTGAACATAGAAAAAAAAAGTTTGATAATATAATTATTTTTTACTATATGTTTCAGGTAATTCTTTCTAAATATATTGATATATCTTAGCTTTGCTCAAAAATTGTGATATTTTGTAAAGACACTTGTATCAAAGATATGGATAGAAGTACGCACAGTGTGACTCGGAAACCTACACATGTACTATCCAAAACTGTACAAAAATGTATTTCTACTGTAATTGTGAATTTGTGTTATACAAATGCATATTATATATATGTATATGAATATAAAGACAGCCATTTTCTATGTGCTTTAATGACGTAAGAGATGAACAAATGAGGACGGTGTCACTGTACATAAGCTGTGAATGAAATTCAATTCAAAGTCGCTCATATTGATTGTGAATGTACTCATGCTTTTTGCAGTACTTACGTACCCAACTTGAATGCTGCTTCTTCTGTAGTGTGACAAAATGTACTTTGACCTCCGAAGAGAGAACCGCTGTCTAGTTATAAGACGGACACATTTTAGTGACGATCTAGCAGAAATATTTCTTTCTTTCTTTATTTGCACATGCAAGTTGAAATCCTTCCAGTTTTAAGTTTTTGAGTATTGATGCGGAGAAATGCAATTGCTGAAGTATACATAATATATATCATGTGTTTAGAATGCATTTTGCAGACACTATCTGTACATATTATTTAAGATACAGTTTTTACAAAAAAAAATTAATATATGTATAAAATAGAAAAAATGCTGTGCAGCAAATTGTCTGGAGTCATTTTGAGCTTCAGGACATACCATTTTTTCAGTATATAAGAAGTGTTTTGAATAATGTACTAAAGTCTCTATTGTACAAATAATAAAAATGTCAATATTGGTAACGTTTGCTTCTTCTGGTGCATTACACCGATCATTGAAGATCAGTTTTCTCTCTGGTTTTCTGTTTACATTTTCACTGAAATGAGATGACAAGGATGACAGAGCACGATGAGAAACGTTGCAGAAGTGTCCTGATGCATCTCAGTAATCCAGGTAAAAAAATCAAAAATAAAAAACTTGTATAGGTCTTCTGGACGGGTTCTTCTCTAATGAAACGTTTCGTCTCTCCTCCAAGAGACTTCTTCAGTC